AAAATTCTCAAGACGGCCCAACAGTTTGAACTTGCCGCCGCCGCCGCCCCGTTTGTACGCTAGCCTCTCGCCACAAATCCAATTTCCATCGAGTAGGAACAAATCAACGAATATTTGTAGCAGCAAGGGAAATGTGGGGGCTAATGGGAGCTTGAGGAGGTCGAATTCGTCGAGCGTTGAAGCTCAAATGGGAGGTTTGAATTTGGGCGGTGCAGTTGAAGAGAGCCATTTGGTTCCGGGGCAGCCGAAAAGGTCTTGCTCGTCTTCAAAGAAGAGCTGCCAAAACAGCCAGAACCAGGTTGTTATGAGTCCACAGCGGCCGCAGCAAGCGAAGAGCAGTAGGGGAAGGAAAGGAAGGCAAGGGAAGAAGATGGATTCTAAATTTCTAATAAAAGAAGAAGCGATGGCGGAATCCAGCAGCGCAGATACGCGGACCACCGTCATGATCAAGAACATTCCCAATAAGTACAGGTAACATTGTTTTGGGTGATTCATAATAATTTATGTATTGTTTGAATAATGAAATTGTAATTTTGTGTTGGTTGGGGGGGGTGTGGCAGTCAGAAGCTGCTATTGAACATGCTAGACAACCACTGTATTCACTGCAACGAGCAGATTGTTGCCCTCGGCGGCGGTGATGATGGTGATGATGATGAGCAGCAGAAGCAGCCTTTCTCCTCCTACGATTTCGTTTATCTTCCCATTGATTTTAAGTATGATTTCTTTTTAAATTTTTAATGAAGTTTGATTTGATTTTAAAGTTCTGTTACAAATTATATGCGGGTGTTCGTTTGTTTGGGGAAATGAACAGTAACAAGTGCAATGTGGGATATGGGTTTGTGAACATGACGTCGCCGGAGGCAACGTGGAGGCTGTACAAGGCCTTCCACCTTCAGCATTGGGAGGTCTTCAATTCCAGAAAAATCTGCGAAGTCACCTACGCTAGAGTTCAGGTACTTTTTTTAATTTTGGTCATTTTCATTAAAATGCATTAAGTAGAGAGAGAGAGAGAGAGAGAGAGAGAGAGAGAGAGAGTAATTAAATGAAATGGAAATTAAATGAAGTGGAATTATTTATTATAATTGAAGGGATTGGAAGCGTTGAAAGAGCATTTCAAGAACTCGAAGTTCCCGTGCGAGATGGAGCATTACCTGCCAGTGGTGTTTTCACCGCCTCGGGACGGGCGGCAACTCACCCACCCACTTCCCATTGTTGGCGCCCAAACCCCTAATAACAATATTAATATTAATATCTCCTCCTCTTCCTCCTCCCCCGTTTCTCTCCTGCTCCCGCCAGTGCCACCTCATCTTCACGATCAACACGACCATGATATGGACGCGCAGGTATCTACCTGCGACTCTGACGACGACGAAGGCAGCAGTCGAAGCGGCGGCGTTTTCATGCCTGACGACGACGATGACGATGATGATGATGATGATGATGATGATGATGATGATGAACGAGACAGACAGACAGCTAGCGCCTCCCTAGGAATAAAAGGCTATACCTATAATACCCTCTAATAATATTAATATAAAAACGTCCACCCTGGCCTCCATGTATATCTCTGTCTGTCTCATCAGTTTCAGTCTGCAAATCTCACATTGATCTGATCTGATCTGATCTTATAGCTACCTGCCTCCCTCCCTCAAGATTAGCTTCCGCTTAATTTCTGCACCAGAACCAGCCACCATCATTTCCATTTATTACTGCTCTCTCTCTCTCTCTCTCTCTCTCTCGTTCTTGTTTTTCATTTTCAAATTTGACTAGTTGTGTCAACTTTGTTCTGTGTTTGTATTTTAGGAAAAATGTAATCCTAGTGTTTAATTAGAGTTTCTTGTTTTGCTAATTACATTTTGTAGTTTTCTAGTATAATTACATTTTGGTGTGTCAATGCCCGTTGAATTGTCCTTGCCGTGTCAGATGCATGACAGAAATGCTAAGTTGTTTGTTGAACGGACACGTACATTAATTTTTTCTATTTACAAAATTATATGTACAGATGTTGTGGATCCATCAACAAACGTATATTTGACGTGGTGTTTCTCTTCCCTGTTGTTTAAAATCAAATGGTTGTTCAATATCATTTATTTCTGTTAATGGGAATCATATAGGTGGCTGATTTATAGGTAATTGCTATTTAGAACCAAGGGTAGGCAATTCAAATTATACAAGTTGAACATTTAGGATGTCGCCTCACTAGTAAATTTTTGAAACGTGAGACCTTGCTATAATTCAATGTTGCAATGAAGGGTCCAAACTTGGAGAAATACTTGGTTTTTTCTATCTCCGGCCTGGCCAATACTGATATGACATGTAAAAATGTTATCGCATGTGTTGTAAAATAGTGTTATACCTATTTCATGGAAGTCTCTCTCTCTCTACGGCCGAACTTGGCTGGTATGAACAATAATTAACAAGCATAATTCAATGGAGTATAGGAATTTACGATTTGCAAAATGTGTAGCATTAGAATTTCATACGAGGTATGCTTAAATTTTGGTGTAACTTTATTACATCAAGTTTAAGAACTGAATGTGTATATATATGTTGTTATGGTTGTTATTTTTATTTATTTGTTAGTTTTAGTATAAAAAAGGAAAGGAGATTGATTGAGTAAAAGGGAATAGTACTCTTTATGGCTTCAATATACTGTTGAGGGAGGCAACATGACTCATGAGAATGTTTATATATGCCCTCGTAACGAGCATCACAAAGCCTAAAAGCCTGCCCTTTCTTTCTTTTTAAAACACATCACTTTCGCTGCAATTGCCCATCTTTTTTTGCCTTGAGTTTTGCTCTGGCTCGGTTATCTTATCTGCATAAAATAAAACTACGACAGATATTCATAGAGATATATATAGAAAGAGAGAGAGAGAGGCTTTGCTTCTCTTCCTCCTCCTCCTCCTCCTCAAGTTGCTGACAGGTAAGAATCCGATGCCACGTGGGAAAGTGCGGGAGATGAGCTGGTAGTAGATGTGGCTGTAGAGCCTTTGACCTTGAGCCGTACAGCAGCAGGAGCTGTGCTAGTAGGGTTGCAATTGCAGAGTGGCAGGTCACTTTAAATTTCTCACCCCTCCACGTCATCAGATATACTGAATGAAAAGCTATATCGTCCATGTCCCCATTCCCATTCCCATTCGAGGCTACGTGCCACAGTGCCAGAGCCAGTGAGAGCCACACCCATCGGACCATTAGTCTTGACTATTGAGAGAGAGAGAGAGAGAGAGAGAGAGAGAGCATGTTTGTCCTCCACTATATATCCTTTGAACAGTTCACAGTTGAAACAGTGGTCTCCACTTACATATATATATATATATATATATAGAGAGAGCTAGGAGATGGGCGAAAGAGAGAGCGCCCATTTAATGCTGCTGCCCATGTCTTGTTGTTGTTGTTGTGGGCCTCCTCCCTCCGTCCCCTCCTTCCTCCTCTTCCTGTTTGTCAGGCTCAGGCTTTGCCCGTCTCTTTATGCTTTTTCTCTGATGCTCTGGGGATTTGACACATGGACCACCTGATGCCCCCCACGTAGTACCCTCTCTGGGTGCCATATGTGGTGCTGTGTTGTGTGTGCGCATCTCTCGCTGTCTTTGCCCCAACTTGTTTACCTCGTATTGTTTGTGTATAAACTCTGCGTTTTGACCAATTCATGCATATGATATGCATGCATGCAAGACAAACTTTCACAACACACAACAAGAAAATATGATCCTAAACTAAAACTCTCATTAGGAGAGAACAAAATCATATTGAAGTGCTACAACTTAATTACCTACTTGGATATTCAAATATCAACAAACACAATCTAATATCAACAAACACAATCTAAAGATCACAAAGTGTGAGATACGTTGATTGTACAAATTTGGTTGAGATTTGAGACAAACGAGAATCATATAGAGGAAGAGCTCGCCGAGATGGGGAGGATGACGAATTCGGCCTTTGTGAGAGGGGTAATTATGTTGCTGTCCTCGTAATTCTTTCGTATTATAATTGTAATACTGAGAGAATGTAGCCCATACTGATATAAGCATAGAATTACAGGTCTTCATCACAATTAAAGGCCGACAAAGATCCAGTTGAAGCACACAAAATTTATAATTAACAGCAAAAGTAGTGAGCCTAGAGCTACAAGTTACAACTACAAAAGGTTGCATGAAGGGGATTCTCCGTCCTTTCCCAAGTATATATGACTTACGGCAACCGAGACTGTTTTTCTGAGATATTTTCTAGTAATTGTTTAGACTTTAGTTTAGACCGGGAACAGGGAAATGCCGGTAGCAGAGATGGTCAAAGATTTGGCAGCCCTCCATGGTCCAATGGAAACTGTGGCATGCGTGAGGCCCTGTGAGTCTTTTTGAGCTGATCAAGGCCACAGGGTGGCCACTTCAACACCTATCTTCTTAATTTAATCGAATCTGTTTTGGAACCCAATAACCCATTTTTTGTTTCCTTCATTTGTAAGATTAACACACCTGATACGATGCACAACTTTTGAAAAACACTTGTACGGCCGTTTGTCTTTTCTAGGATCTAGGATGATGACTGTCTTTATTAAGCTTAAACAGCGTCCAATTTTTTATTTTATCACATGGTAATTAAGATTTGCATTTAAATTCTTAATTGACCGTAAATTAGTGAGCTTTCGTTTAGCGGTATTTGTCTTCTCATGTTTGACTCATATGAATAGCTAAAACGACTTGTAATGAATTTGATATATTTGTGATGAGTTTCAATACATAATTAGACGTGTCTAGTTTTATTGTAGCGGTATAGATTTGTCGACCGGTGAACTCATTTTAGGTCAGTTGGAAGAGTGGACCTAATTTGTTGCAGTACTTGTCCTTTATGGATGGATTGGATCAAGCAATACTTGCTACATGATTGTGAACTCCACAAAAACATGGACGGGCTAAATTAGCTAGTTGGGCCTATAAAAATAAATAAATAAAATTCAGAGCGAAGTCTGTGTGCTAATTCTTTGATCACATAACCATGTACATGTTCATCAAACTCTCAACCCTTTATTTCATATTTCAGCATCAAACCAACATTTATTTTCATCCAAAACGAAAGCGTAAATTCAGTACACCACACACCATATATATAAGCACCTAAGGTTCATATGCCTCTTTTAGGACAAAGCTTGATCACTGATAACTAAATTGGCAAACGAAATCTACTAAACTAAACTATATCATGCGTAGCAGCACATGCATAGAGCTTTAGAGTTCATCCTTGACGGAGGAGGAGCTTCTTCTTTTTGTGTTGCTTGGGGAAGACTTCATGGGGTAAGAGGGATCTTTAGCAATTCCACACAGCCCTTCTTCTGCATCAACTCCACGTTGGATCCTTATGTATCCCTTCTCTCCCCACTCCTCTCCCCAAGAGTTCTTCACAGTCCAGTACTTGGTCCCATCCAGAGTTGTTCCATACCCCACAACTGCCACGCCATGGTTTAGCTCTGTTCCACAGTTCCCATTAAACACACCCTGCAAAATTAATTTACCCATGATTTAGCTCTCATCCTTGTGTTTAGTTAATTAATTTGAAAGCAGTTGTATTTTTATACCTCTGAGTAGAATTGGAAGTCTCTGCCACCAGCATCTATTGCAACAGATACAGGTTGGTTTGCAACAGCTTTCATCAAGGCATTTTCGTTGTTTTTGGGTACGTTTTCGTAGCCATCAATTTGCACCAGAGGAGCATTCGTCATCTGCAAGAACCAAAACAAAGCACGCCCATTTTTTTTCACATGCACGAAGGAACATGATATTTTATTGATGTGGGGTAATTAGTTGGTTCTTTCTTCACCTTGGTTGAGTCACAAGGCCCATCACCGGCTCTGTAAGGGTAGTTCTGCTCTGTGGTTATGCCGCCATTTTTCTTTATGAAATCAAATGCCTTTTCCATCAAGCCACCGTCGCACCCTTCGTTGGGGTCTCTATTGCAATCAACCAGCTCTTGCTCAGACAGAGAGACTAGGGCCTTGGTTTTGATTTGATTGATACCCTCCACTGCAACTACAGTTGAAAATGCCCAGCAGCTACCTGTAACATCAACAACATGCAGTAAATTTTAATCATCTCTTGATTTTGATCAACATGAAAGTTGTAACATTTATTCATGAAATGGATTGCATATTTTCCCCATCAACTAGCAATCGTAACACAAAATTTGCATAAACTTTCAAAATATTTCAATGAAAATTTTCACATGAAAATCTTTGGTCATGTACGTATATCTGAGACTTACCGCATTTGCCTTGGTCTTTAACTCCAGTGACTGCTCCATTCTTCCTCCAATCAACATTTGGTGGAAGATTGTCAGTGCTCTCATGTGTGAAGGCAGTTTCCCTTCGGCTGCCATGCAAAGACCTGTAGTGGCTAACCTTTGAGCCAGCATAGGAGCGCACAAACTCATGGTTGGTCATGTCTGCATACTTGTTCAGCTTCAGCTTGTAAGGCTTGCTCATCTGGTTCACCTTGTGCACATGCTTCACATTCTCCTTGAAGACATTGAAGCGCTTTTCCTTCTCTCTGAGGTCATGGGAAATTGTATGGTGGCTCCTCCACCTCTCATAGATGTCCCAGAGACTCTCTTCAGAGGCCAGGTCCTTCTCCTGAAACTCAAAGCTTTCAGTCAGGCCAATAACCAGAGCCAAAAAAAGAGCAACCAAGATGAACTTCCTCATGTCAATCAATCACTCTAACAAAGATTTCCTAATTTGAATCAAGAAATGTTGGAGTTTAAGGAAAATGGGTTTTGAGAATTATGGGAGATGAAGCTATTTGATTGCTTTGATCAATGCAAAGCGTACCCTTTATAGACAATTTTGGTTGGTAGGGATTGATTGGCACTAGAGCTCTACGTTACGCAGCATGCCATATTGGCCGGGGTCTCAACTTTAGAGCTTTAGACATAAAATATGGGGAAAAAGTGACATTCTTTTTAGAAGTTGTATATATTTTTGGAGGTGGGTTTGTAGTTTTTTGGTTTATATCTACAGCCTACATGCCATCCACGTTACCTTGTTTAACTTGTTTATAGATGGTGACAAATGGGTTATGTTGTGGCACGATTTCTTGCAAGCCTATGGACTTTCCTGTCTTTGTTCAAAACCGAAAACTTTTCTAAGGTTGGCTACTTGGGAGTGAAACTTGCGTGATTCTTTATCTTCTGCATTTTGTCGATTTTCGTTTTTGGTATATCAGAAGATTATTTTGGGCAGCTACCTACCTAGACTTGTACTTCTCTGTGTGTATTGTTTGTTTGATATTTGATAATATAATGAGATGGAACAAACATTTTAAGGTTATCTGATTATACAATACTTATAAACTGGGCAAATAATCTAGAGTGCTGTTATTTCCACCCACCATGTAAATTTTAAAAAACATAATCCTATCTTTCCATCCACCGTTATTCCTAAGATACCTTTAATGTGCTGCTATTTCCACCCACCATGTAAATTTTAAAAAACATAATCCTATCTTTCCATCCACCGTTATTCCTAAGATACCTTTAATTATTATTTCCTTTTATCAAAAGTAATAATTTAAAACATAAAAAAAAGAAGCTTAATGGAACTTAACAATTAACTCCTACAATCATTATTCTTCTTTTCATTTCATTATTCTTCTTTCTTTCTCTGCGGTTTCTCCACCCAATTGTATAGGTTTTTTTCCCTCTTCCTTTCTCCAAGTTTGGTTGGTTTTGGTGGTGGCTTGAGAAAATTTGGGGTTGGGACCCGAGAATTGGAGGGTGGTCTCATTGTTGAGTTGGAGGGTTTGTTAGGAGAGTCTGTACGAAGGAATGACAAATGTAGATGGCGTATAAGAAGACAGGGCTGAGAAAGAAAGGTCACCTTAAATTGAATTAAATTGAATTTGAACAATTTTGATTATTATGTAAAGATCAGTTAAGCCATTATAAAGAGAGTCTACAGAAGAAAAGAAAAAAAAAAAAAAAAAAAAA